TCTTCCTATTACTCTTTTGAAGATGAAGTAGAGCCCTCATCCTTTTGGAAAGAGATACTTCTTGATATTGGTGAAGTACCTCTTTCCGTGCTCATCATTAACTCGTATTGCTCCTTTGCTTGGCGTGCTATAGGTCCTAAGACCATTTCTTCCTCAATTTTTTCCTATAACTCCTTTTCTTTAAACACTAGATGTGGGAGATAAAGAATAACATGGTCTTTTATAATCATTTTCCCATTATTGTAATGTAGTGCTTCAAAGAATTCGATTACAGACATTTCTTTTTCTTCTTCAAGATCATATACCTTTTCAATGAAAGGAATATGTTTGAAATGTGGCTCCCTTACCAATGGATCAAGCCTCTAATTTTGGTAGGATGGTAAATATTTTAGCAGATTATGTTCTTCCCATATTGTTCATATGGTGAACTCAAATACTCGTTGAAATTTACCAGTCTCTTCAAGTACTTGACAGCATATATCAGGAATGAATGACTTATACTCTTCTGGTCTAGTTTTGTTGACATATAGCTTGTGTAATAGACCCTTTTTAATGTGTTCTTTATGTAAGGGTATAAGCTCAAAACTAGCTGATACCTTAGGGCGATCATATTGATTTAATATAACTTGTGAAGCTAACTTGAATAAGAACTTATTCCATCATCGTTTAGCTTCTCAAAATAGGATAGCATTGCCTGATCATCAATCAAGTTGCGTTGATAATTGTTGTACCTGTCTTTTAATTTTCTTTGTGTCTGATATTTTGAAATATCAAACTTAAAATAATTGACAAGTTCAATAAAGTCATCAATTTTGGTGACTGCTAGATCCTTGATTTTAATTTCCTCTAGAATCGATCTTAGATTTCTAGAGCTTGAACTTAGAGAATCTTGCATCTGTTCTCTTTGGTTTCTCATTGCCTTGGACATTATCAAGGTTAATTTGCTAATAAGGTTTTCCACAATGCTTTTGCATCTGTGGTATCTTTTTAGCCATGCCTGGAGAGGAAATCAGCACCAATGTTAGTGAATCTAGGAATATATCGAACTTTATAAATATATATAGTTCTCTAATTCCATAAACCATCTAATTCTGCACACATTCTTCCCAATTAAAGAATTTATCTTAGCTTGATTATCCAGTTCAATAATGAACTTGGATGACAATAAATATATTTTTAAGGAATTAATAGTATTTTTGATAGCTAATAATTCCTTATCATATGTAGCATAATTTTTCTCTAGACCTTTAAATTTTCCAAAGCAATATACACATATTTCTGGGTCTAATTGGTTGATCTTTACCCTTGATCCAGGCTCTGATACCAATCTGGAGTGGGGGTGTTTGGATGAAAGTGCAAACAAAATTCCATCCCCATATGTATCTGAGGCATCAGTTTGTATAACTAATGTATCCCCAGATTGTGGCTGATAAATAATTTTTTTTCTTTATTTCCTCTTTGATGTTGGCAATTTCTTGTAATTGCTCATCACTGAGTGTAATTTTAATTTTATCTGTGTCCCATTAGGTCATGCCTTTATTATTTATTTCTTTATATGTCTTCTCTTCTTCAGTAAGTTTATTCTGAATTGAAGAAATTTTCTCAAAGAGATTGAGTATATACCTTCTAGTATAATTTAGTAAGATCAAAAGCTTTGTAGATCTTTTAGAGTTCCAAAATTATCTTTGAACTCTTTGATCTTTGTGATAATGTGGTCTTGAAATTCAATGCGACAACTTGAATAGAATTTTGGAAATAGGAAATTTCTTCTGGTCAGGAAGAAGTTTAAATTTAATAACATATTTATCGATGGTAATAGGAAACCAATGATGTATGTTATTATTCCCAATAATAATAACTTCCATATGATCATTTTCCATGACATAGGCGGAAAGTGACATAGGAACTTCCCTCTTATCAATGTGTTTTCAAAGATAAAAGGGATATTTTTGACCTTTTGAGAAAGACCATGTTGCATTTGATGTAGCGGAGGATTCCTTTAAATGTCTAGAGATGAGTAGTTCAAGGATTCTATACATGAATTAACAATTGTAGCAAAAATAATATTTGGTATAGAAATAATGAGATATTGTAGTCCACCAACTACTATGATAAAAATGACATCTTTGAGAGTAGTGTTCAATCATTTCTTTTGAATTTATTTTCTTTAAACATGAAAGTATGAATTGGTTTACAAGTGAAGTCATGCAAATCAAATGTAACAATTTCTAGTCATTTCAGCACTGATCTAATTTAAATAATTTGTTGCACTCAGTAGATTTTCGAATTATTCGTCACAAGCTTGTAGGCTCGAAAAGTGATGATCTGTAGTCTGTGAGCACATATATATTAGTTTCTAATAAGATTGTAACTACTAGTCAGGAGTATGATAAGTATCAATTATTTCTGAACTATCTTCCTTAGGAACGCCTATTACCTAACTTTGTAACTTCCATGTTATTCATACCTAAGTCGCTGCTTATCAAACTAATTTATTTTGGAAACATAATTGTCCGTATTATTTTACTAACACAGTGATCCTGACTGCAGGAATGTGATGAATCATTCTATCTCCCTTAGAAACATATATCCATGTTTTCTACTTCCATGTTACCGTTCGTACCTAACTCATTTATTATTGAGATGATTTATCCTTGAAATAGTGATATATAAAAGTATTAGTTTCCATTGATATTTTTTAATAAAAATAAGCATTTATCGAATCATGATACTATCACAAATTTATGCCAAAAATATTGGGATACCGAATCACGTGCATCGTAAGGGTACCAACTAATACAAACAGAGATTGTCAAATATCAATTTACACTCAGGACATGGCCCTTCGGAACAAGACTCGTCGAACAAAGCCCCCCTAAGATAGGCCCAATTTGTTTCGTGAAAGTGAACATTGAGTTGCAACTTAATCTCGCCCCACACACACACACAAAATCCAAAGTGTCAATGTAAGTAAACCACCTTATAATTTCAATTTGTACCTATGAGGTGGCTAATTGCAACACAAATCCACTTTAATGATGATTTATGCTGTCAAATTCAGAGGTGGTGCAGCATTGCTGTATTTTTAAGGTAGTTTCAGTAGGAAAAAACCCCTTCGTATGTTCCTTTCAGCTTCATGCAAACAAAATGCTGATGTATTAAGCTTAGATGGGTTGATTGTGAACAGTAATATAACTTGATGAACATGGGAAGAAAGTATGTAAACCCGTAAACCTATGCATTTGGTTGATTATTATACTCACTTAGGAAAATTAAGAAAATTTTTACTAGATCATTACAAAGTTTTCGAGAGAGGCTATGTATCATGACAAACCTTAAGATAAACTAATATTTATCACATGAGAGTGCAGAAAGATATTGAGAATACAAATAACACGGAGATGTATGTAGTTCAACTTATAACTTAAGGAAAAATGCTTCCAGCCCCCAAAACACAAGAAAACGTGCTTCCCCCACCCCCCAAGACTTTTTCAACGGGTGCTTTGCCCCCAAAATGCTCCACGATTTTCTTCTAGCCCCCAAAACGAATCCTCAGGCGTAACTCCGTTTAAACCCCTCACGAAATGCCCAAAATATCCTTCGTAGCCTGTGTTCGTCGCCCTCTCACGTCGGAAACATGGCGTTTCGACTGTAGGCATTAAATGGTGATTAGAATGCCCTTTTTTTTAGGGTGGGGGGCTGGGGGGGGATTCCCATTTCCTTCTAAAATTATCACCAGATATATTCCCCTTCCAGCCGTAATAAAATCGTTGAGTTCCTCCCCATTCTATTACACCAACTAATCTGTTCCTTCCACTTAATTCTCCTCAATAAAAGCCTCTTCGATTCTTCAACTACTCCCTATAATAAAATGGCGGATGGATCTCTTCTATGCGTGGTAACGAAGGCAAAAAGCAACAAAAATGGTGACAATGTATTCTTCGTTGTCAAAGAGAATACAGAAATAATCAGCTTGAATTATCAAGTATCGAAAAGACTTAAAATACCAATGCAATCTCTTTCACTGAAGTTCATATGCGAAAGGGAAAAGAAATTCAGTATTTCAGCAATCTCTTTCACTGAAGTTCATATGCGAAAGGGAAAAGAAATTCAGTATTTCAATTGACAATAACGATGACTTAAATTTGATGAAAGGGAAAAGAAATTCAGTATTTCAATTGACAATAACGATGACTTAAATTTGATGTTCGAGTATTGTCGGCGTAATGGATTTGCAAACGCGAATTTGTATGCTACCTCCGCTGGGGAATCCTCAACTTTGCAGAACACGCAGACTATGCCGGAAAATGTGTAGGAATCACACTCCAGATTTCCTTATGAGTTCACTGATAGGTTTTGTCATTAGTTGTTAACCTTATGCATTGGTTGCTTAGGTGATGAGTTGGTTGTCCAGGTTAAGTTAAGGATTGGTTATTAAGGTTATTTGTTCGCTGTTACGTATACTAGTTGGTTGCTATGATGAGGTGTTTGATGTTAAGTATATGCATTTGTTGTTAAGGTCACGAGTCTGTCCTTAAGTATAAGGGTTAGTTGTTAAGGATATGTGTTGGTTGTTACGTTTATGAGTTCGTTGTTAAGGTTATCAGTTCATTGCTGAGGCTATGTATTTTTATTACTACTTCAGGACAATACTGACAGAAAATTCACGGTGCACAGATACCACATTCACTCAAACCTGTAATGATGAGTGTATTCCTAATGACAACCCCACCGGCGACTCGATCATGCTGCTGGAAAACATGCTTAACCACCAAACAAATATCCCAACCGAGTGGCACACCTCCATACGTAAAGTTGGTCAGAAATTTGATAGTGCTGCTGAAGTTAGATTAACTCTTTAATACTATTCAATTGCTAAACGGTTCGAGTATGATTTTTAGCACAATGAACAAAGGCGCATAAGAGTCTATTGCCGATTCAAGCACACACATGGTTGCCCTTGGATGTTGTTTGCTTCCCCACTCAGAAATTTGTCTATCATGTCTACAAAGAATTTCAAATCTACCCACATCTGCGGTCAACATGGAGCAAATGCTGGTAACTCAAGGGCATCAAGGAAGTTCATTGCTAGCCAAATACAAGTTGTTTTGAAGGTTAGGCCAGATCTTCGTGCAGTTAATATCAAGAACGACATGCTCTCTAATTTTGTCATCAAGATTAACTATAGTAAAGCGTGGTGGGGCAAGGAGACAACTCAACAGGACCTGTTCGGTGACGATGATGAGACTTATGATTCTCTGAGATTGTTCGTTCTTTTTTATTCTTCTGAAATCACTCTTACGTTTTGGTTGCTAACTATACGTATTAGTTGTTAAAGTTGTTGGTTCGTCGTTAAGTATATGTGTTGGTTGTTAAGTTTGAAGATCAGTTATTATGGTTATGAATCCATTGCTAAATTTATTGCTTTGTTGTTGTATTCATGTAGGTATGAATCCATGGAGCATGCAACTAATCTAGGGAGTCGTGTTGTTATTGATGCTGATGACGGGAGGTTCAGGCGATTGTTCATTAGTTATAATACCTGTATTGAAGGGTTCATTGCTGGGTGCAGGCCTCTATTGTTTTTGGATGGGACATTTATTAAAGATCGCTACAGAAGCATACTACTTAGTGCCACTGGGTATGATGGCAACCAGGGACTATTTCCCCTTGCTTATTGCGTATGCGACCCGGAGAATGAGGTTAACTGGAAATGGTTCTTACAAGGATTATGGACATTACTGTATGATAGGAAAAATCCTTACTAACCTCCACATCAATTGGTAATAATTTCCAACGCCGACAAGGGTATTAGGGCAGCAACCGAGGAATTCTTTCCAGATGCATTCCATTCAAGGTGTGTTCTGCATCTAGTCAAGAATTACAAAAAAACGATGAAGGATTTTGGGCACAAGGTAAATGTCACGACTACGCTGGGCGAGCTGTTATAATCTGCGGCTTATAAGTTCATAATTTCTGAATAGGATGATGACATGAAAGAATTGATAGCGATCGATCACAGGACTTACGTCACTGTAATGGAATACTCCCCGGAGAGATGGGCGAACGCGTATTTTCCTGGTATAAGGTAAGATAGCTTGGTTTCAACGTTATTTTGTTACAGCACCGTTATAGTTGTTTAGGTTAGATTTAGCCTACAGTTTTCTGTTAAGGTTAGATTTTTATTATTATGACTAGAATTATTCTGCTAGGGTTTTGTTGTTAAGTTTAGAATTTTGTAGTTAAGGTTAGGACTTTAATGTTTAGGTTATGGTTTTTGTTAATGTTAGTGTTTTGTTGTTAAGGTACAGCCATGTTACTTCAAACGTTGCTGAGTCCTTCAACAGTTGGATGAGAAAGGCACGATTGTTGTGAATCTTACCTTTGGTTGAGACCATACAGAAGTAAATAATGGAGCGCATGCATGAAAGGAGGCTAGTGGGTCAGAAATGGTATGGATACTTATGCCCAGAAGCGGAGATGGTGCTGTGCGATAATATTCAGCATGATAGCTGCTTGGCGATTAAACATTCGACGGAAGATATTGTGGTGGTCGAGTCTAATAAAACTTGCCGTGTGGATTTGAAGATTCGAACATGTTCTTGCAGAACCTGGGACATCACCCGCATTCCTTGCAAACATGCGCGCGCTGCAATTACATGGATGGGATGATAAATTTATCAATATTATGATTACTACATGACTGTTGACGTATTCAGAGCAAGTTATACACCGATCATCTTTCCCATCTCAGATTACGAGAAGCGTTTTGTACCGTCAGAAGAGCGAGTGTTAAAGCCTCCTCTCACCAAAAAAAGACGTGGCAGACCATGCACTAGACAAATAAATAACAAGTCGCTGAACACCCGTCCTGTTAAGTGCTCTCGATGCAACGTGGAGGTGTTAGACTCTAGAGAGGGGTGATTAGGGTCTTATGCTAATCTAATCCGATTTTATGCTAATTAAAACTAATTAATAAGTTATCCTAGCAAGTATGAAATACAACATGATATGTGAGCTAGGATAAGTAATATGAACAATGAGATATATCCTATATGATAAAAATATATGCAAGGATATATAAACTAACACAAGGGTGATATAATCAAACTACAAATGTGATAGGGTAAAATATACAAGAGTAAATGCAATTAGCGATGTAAGATAAATGCATAAGCAAATGCGCTAATGACAAACTCAAACACACTCAAATGATCACGGAGTTCGGAACTTCCGTCCTACGTATCCGCTCCCTACTCCTGGGGAGAAATCCACTATCACAATCCGGTTTGGAAGCCGGAACTTCTACACACTCGGTTTTCTAGCTAACCGAAAACTCTACAACTCATACTCTTGCAAACCCACTCTACACCCTCACAAGTGTTGGACCTAGCCGTGTCTCCCTCAAGTGCTCGGTTACAACCTCTCCCTAGGTTCGTTAACCGACGCCACTCCTCTTGGGACGATCCCCGACTCTCACCATACACTCCTCTCGGTGTACAAGTGTATTACGAAGTGATCTCACGATTAAGCACAATACAAAGAATGATTGTTCTCTAATATGGATGAGAACACAATAAAAACTCACACTCAATTGTTACAACTCTCACCAACCCAAATATACTATGTATGAAAATACAATAAGCTCAAGTGGGTGTGTGTGTAAACAATGAGTAAAATCAAATCTAACTCAAATAGCAAACTAGCAATAATAAGAATATGAAAATCAATAATAATATTGCTAGAGAAAAGAGTTAGAAAACTTCTCTATAAACACAAAGAGAGGATGAGAAGATATTAAAGATGTACTCCTCAACAGATAATGCAAACTCCTCTTTGTAATAGCAAACCCAGAAACAAACCAAACAAACTTAAACTCTTTTAAAACTTGTTTAAAATATTTCTTGGATGGATTTGAGAACTGAGATCAATGGGGTATTTATAGCCTCCCAAAACCTCAGCCAAAAACCCCAAACAAAAGACCAAAAACCCCCCCCAACGAATCAGAAATATGATTCTGTACCAAATATGACTGTTGGGCGATCGGCGGGCGACCGTGGGGAAAACGCGATCGACCGAGAAGCGTCATGAAACTGAGAAAACAAACAAATAGGCTACGGGTCGACCGCGACGGTCGACCATGAGAACTTACAGACTGACGGTCGACCGCACGGTCGACCGTGAAAGTTTCTGCTGGTTTCGCAGGCTAAAAATAAAAACACGGTCGACCGTTGGCGGTCGACCGTGAACTGATATATGAAATTTTAGGTTTGAAAACAGTTTGCTGATTTTTAAAACACTGTTTAAAAATATCAAATAAATTCCAAAAATTATGAAACTTTGAGAAATGATTGTAGACATGATAATACACATGCTACAAAAACTGGTTTTCTAAAAGGATTTCCCAATTGAGAAATATCATCATTTTGCAAAATAGTCCAAAACATGGAAGTGTAAACATACGAGTTTTAACATTTTAGCTTAACCATGTTTTGAAACATTACAAAATGATTTTATAGACTTGAAGGAAGATGTAAGCTATTGCTATGAAGTCTATAAACAATGACTATAGTATTTTATCAAAATACACATATAATGCACTAAAACATGATTTTATTGAACTAAATAAAATTGATATTGATGAAATCATATATATGCATATAAGTATGAAACAAAAATATGTTTTCTAATTATATTAAATTGTTTCATATTAAAAACTTAAAAACTATCAAACCAAAACATATGTGTATATATATAACTATATATATACATGGAAACCAATAAATGTGTGTGTATATTATATTGAGCTTAAGGTACTAACACACATAATATAAACTCCTAAACTAAATTACCCAAGCTTGATCTTGATCTTCATTGTAGCTCAACTTGGTAAACTTATATGAAGCTTGTAATTAGATCTTTAACTTGATAGCAAGGCTTCACTCCACTATTCTGCCAACCTTTATTGGATATGATCGTGAAAGCTTGATTCCATCCAACCTCCAACTCGTTGTTTGCCTAGAATAAATACGAAAACACAAACACTAGACAAATAACATTAGAAGTAAATTATTTATTAAACATCATCAAAACAAGAAGGCCAACAATCTCCCCTTTTTTGATGATGACATACAATTTACAAAAAGGATATATGCATGAAAGGAAATGAATATACAAAGTATAATATATCATGCATATAAACAAGAAAGAATATACTCATAATATTTCTCCCCCATTTGACAACATCAAAAAGGGGACAAAAGGATAAAGAGAGCGAAAGCTCCCCCTATCAATAAGCATATGTGAGTATAACACATAAAAAGATATAGGGATTACTCACCCTATCAAAATACCTCATGAATATATAAAATGAAGATCATGGCAAACATATGTGAGCAAGCATAGATGGAAAATATGCTAAACACAACTCACATACATAAAGACAATGAGAACATATATAAATATATCAAAGTGAACATAGTGTCTCATTTCTCAAGCATAAAAACCATAGTGTATAAACATAGATTTATGAAATCAAAAGAAGAGGAACATGAGAAACATACAAAAAGTTTTTAAATGAAAACAAATTAATTAATAAAATCATAAATCAAAGTTTAAATCCAAAAACGTAAGACCAAATCATCATTGATTAAAAAAATCATGAGAGGCAACCATATCTAGCTCTTGAGCTAGTAATAACCCATATAAACATTTAAGCATCCGGTAAACATGATTTAGGAATAAACACCCAATAAACCCGGAGGGTATATAACTACAAACCTCTTATTTAAAATCAAAACTAATAATCATGAAAACAAAAGATTTGATAAAAAAAAGATTGTTTTCATAACCAAAAGATTTTAAAACATAATTTTCAAACCAAGAAAAGGAAAAAGTAAAAGTATTAAAATTCTTGGTTTAAAAATCATTTTGGCACCTAAGAATTCTTGGTGCCGGATTGGTTAGGGACATGACGTTTGGGCACATGTAGTGTACTAACATGGTCAAATCAATAATCACTCAAATGACCCTTCCGATTGCAATATGTATAATGGAAAGGAAGCATTTGCTTATGTTGACCATTAAAAGGTGCACGTGGAACATTTACAAACAAAGGTAAATTATTTGAAGCTTTTTGCAAATGTGAAACATTATCAAAACACAACTTTCCTAAGTGGCCAAATCTACCACAAACATTACATTTATAAACATGTGGTCTACTAGAAACATTTGGCAAGTGAGACTTATTTTTTAAATCAAAACAATATTTGGCCAAATGACCAAAACCACCACAAAGATCACACTTGAACACACTAGCATGCTTATGATGAACTTTGTGAGAATGAACATGTGAATGTGTAAGTGTACAAGATGAAGAAGCTACATGAGATGCACAAGGATCATTATCATTCTTATGGTTGTGTGTATCATAGCAAAATTTTGATAAATGACCTTTTCGGCCGCAATTAGAGCATTTGTAAACTTTGCTATATATGTGTGTATAATGAGTGGATGATGACTTAGACTTGGCACACATATCCATAAGCCTCTTATGATTATTAATGCACGTTTTTAAAGTTGAATCTAAAGATGAAATGCATTTATTCATAAGATTAAAATCTTCATTTTTAGGCACATATGCATTTTTATTAGAAGTAGAACATAAATAGTCATTTATAAAAGAAGCAGTATCATTTTGTATGTTCTCTACTTCTAACATGGCATTATATTTTTCATGAGATAAGCTAGTTATAGATGTGTTTAATTTTTCATTTTCCAAAATTAACATGTCATTGTTTTCTTTAAGCATGGTATTTTCTTTAGCAATGACATCCAATTTTGATACTAGCTCCTCATGATCGGATTCTAAATTATCATGCTTGCTTTTTAAATCAATAAAGTCATTTTGCAATTTCTTGTAGGCATGTAATAATCTTTCACTAGCACAAGCAAGTTCATCACTAGATAAACCATTAATAGATTCAAACTTACAAACCTCACTAGGGCTATCGCCTAGTGGCCGTGTGCATGATGCTCCATATAAACTTGAAGTCGGATCTTCCAAAGCTTGTCGGATCGCCTCCAAGTCCCTTTGATGTGCTTCAATAAATTTTCATAAGGTGTAAACACTATCAAAATGAACAAATTTATTAGGCATATATGAATCAAGAGCATTTAGTAAATATTCTAACAAAATATTGTTTATTGTAAACATACGATGATCATTTTTATTCCACTTGGATTTCTCCATAGTGGGCACAATATAAGCATCATCTATAATTTCCCATAAATCAAAGTGTTTAGATTGAACAAAAAGTTTAAATCTAACACACCATTGGGCATAGGAGAAATTATCTAATCTAGGAGCAATATTG